AGATTTAAAGAAAAAATTAAAAAAATGAATAAGGAAAAATCTAGTCCACCTGTGTAAATTTTACGAAACATCCTGTACATATTTTGCAAAAACATCTGGTTGGTAGGGTATAAGATTTTTCATAAAAATATTGCAGACTTCAGTAAAAAATATGGAAAGGGAAAAAATAATAAGGAAAATTTCGTTCTATTCGTAATTTTTATCTGCATGAGTATTGTGGAACATCCAATATAAAGATTCAAAAAGACATCTGGTTAATAATTATACAAATATTAATTAAAAGACGTTACTAAATATAGACAAAGTTAAAAGTGAAAAAAAAATTGCACGTAATTCGGACCTGGGTCAATTCTGTGGAATATCTAGTTTATGGATTTTCAAAAAAAATGAATAAATATACAACTTTGTTTCAGATTTAAAAAAAAATTAACAAAATGAAAAAGGAAAAACCTAGTCCACCTGTGTCAGTTTTATGAAACACCCATTATATAAATTGCAAAAAACATCTGGTTAGTAAGGTATAAGATTTCTCTTAAAAATATTGCAGACTTCAGTACAAACTGTAGAAATGGAAAAAATGTACCTAAGGAAAGATTCATTGTTGGTAATTGGATCAGTTTTATGGAACATCCAGTATAAAGATTCAAAAAGACATCCGGTTAATAAATATACAATTTTTCATTAAAACACTTTAGTAAATAAAAACAAAGTTAAAAGTGAAAAGGGAAAAATTACCCGTTTTCAGATGTGGGTCAATTTTGTGGAACACCCAGTACACATATGGATTTTCTAAGAAGCGGATGGTCAATGAATATACAAATTTTCTTCAAAAGATTTTACGAAAAAAATAACAAAATGAATAAGGGAAAATCTGGTACACCTGTGTCAGTTTTATGGAACATCCTGTACATATATTGCAAGAAACAGACGACATACGCAGTTAGCAGAATTTGTAGCGTTCAACTTTATCGGTTTTGAAGGAGGGTGTTTTGTTAGATTTAGTGCTTGTGATTGTATGCTGATAAGTGCAGACGAAAATAATTATTATTTTGGATTTTTTTTTCATGACTGGTTGAATATTTTTTACTGACATTGAAAAAGAACATGAAAAAAATCTTTTAAATTTAATTAGTTGTCGTCGTTAAAATAAAAGTGTAGATCGAATGTTTTCTAACAGACGTTTGGAAGGGACGGTATACAATGGGAAATGTTCTCGTACGAGATTAATTTCTCGTCTTCCTCTGGTGAAAACTTGGTTGCCATTTTAAAATTAGGTAAAAATAAACGCTTTTTTAGCACTGCACGCTGTCAGCTCAACTGAACGACTGCGTTGAAACCAAATCCGATTTGATTTCGACTGAACCGACGACGCACATCATTTTCTGCCTACCGTGAGTCCACCTAAGCAGACTCTAACAAACCAGCTACGCATCTTCTTGTGTTCTAGATTCCAACGTAAGTCCGATGCGCATAATAGACTGTCTGCTTTGCGTCGCCTACATCTCTAATAAACCATAGTTTTAGTAGGGTATAAGGTGTTTCATAAAAATATTGCAGACTTCAGTACAAAATATAGAAAAAGAAAAAACATAAGGAAAGTTTCGTTCTATTCGTAATTTTAATCTGCATCAGTATTGTGGAACACTCAGTATAAAAATTCAATGAAACAACTGGTTAATAAGTATACATTTTTTCATTAAAAGACTAGTAAATAAAGACAAAGTTAAATGTGAAAAGGAAAAAAATTGCCAGTAATAAGATGTGGGTCAATTTTGTGGAACACCCAGTATATATATATATATATATATATACATATGGATTTTCTAAAAAGTGACTGGTCAGTACTTATACAACTTTTCTTCAAAAGATTTCATAAAAAAATTAACAAAATGAATCAGAGAAAATCTGGTCCACCTGTGTCAGTTTTATGAAACATGCTGTACATAAATTGCAAAAAAACATTTGGTTAGTAAGTTTCTTCGTTGCTCCTCCATATTTGACTGATTTCGCGGTGGCAGTGACCAGTGATATTGTATATGGGGGCCTCCGCTCAGCCGGTGGCTACGAACTCAGCGAGAACCAATGGGGTGCGTCCAAGAAAACCTCGCGAAATTTGCCCGCGGCGACATAAGACATAATAGAAATATCTATTTGAAAATTTAGGTAGGCAGTGAAATGAGAAAAAAATCCTAGTCCGCCTTGTGACGCACTTTTCCTCGGTTCTCTCTCTATGGATCGTTCGGTGTAAATTTTTATTACTTTCAACTATGGTGTGTACACCCCCTGTAATTTAATTTTTCGGAAAGGTCTTCTATTCCTCGGACTGGACTCTAAACGGTAATGTTAGTGAATAACTTATATAGTCGGTTTTAATCCCAGGCGCCAGTTTCCCTAAATTTGACGTGGGGGAAACTCCACGTATCCCTTACCCTCGGTTTAGAGTAAAGTGCACAGGTAGCTACAGTAAAGAAAATAAATTCCAGGGGTCAATGAATTTCTTTTAGGAGAAAACGGCAGAGAGTACGGCAGAGAGTAGTTTTCTCAGTGTAGTTTTATTTTA